TAAAATAAAATAAAAAAAAAAAAAAAAAAAAAAAAAAAAAAACTAAAGAATCTATGCAATAATGCAAAAATGTTCATACGTTGATATAAATATATTTTTTGCAATATGATAAAATACGTAACTTCGTTATCTCACTTTGTTCATATATTCTACGTGAAAGACGTTAAAATTTTTAAAAAATGGTTCTTTTGTCTTGGTTTTAATTTCAAATATAAAATATTTTATAAAATCTGCAATAAAATAGAAACTTTTAATACACTTGACTCTGAAACAATTTGTAAATAAATTTAAAATAGTATACAAACAATGTATTCGATATATCTAAAAGTATCTCACATTCAAGGCCAGACTATTATTTTTCTGTATTCTATCTTCATGATAAAATTTTTTTTGCGTTAACAAATTTCTAATTCATCATATTTTTCGTATCGTTTGAAAACTGTATGCGCTTATCATGTATTCATATTCATTTTCGTATAAAATCTTTAAAAATGCATTATTTATATCTTTTTCTATTTTTTTTTTTTTTTCGAAACTTATATCGAAACATACATATATGTATATAATCGAAATGATTAAGATTTTCTTTGTAAAAAACATTGTTTATAATTCTATACAACGAACTAAACACTTTTGCAATTAATTCTCAACCAACAAGTGCTTTGTTTATACTGAACATCAACACCTAAATGTGTACTTTTAACAATTTAAGCGCCACGTAGTACAACAGCGCTGCTCGTAATCTATCATCGAAAAATGCCGCAAATGCTAGTTTTACTGAAATGTTTCCTTCTATGCTATAAGCATTAATAAATACAAAAGTTTTGATAATAATTTTACATTATAAAACACAAATATCTTAGCGTTCAATATCAACTCATAATTGTAAGCTATAATATGTATTTAAACATTCTTCGATCAGATTCTTGCAGTAACTCGTAGCACTCAAACGGTTAACATGTGCTATGCAGCGCATAAAGTTTTGGACAATCGATATAGATTAGATATACGTACATAGTTTTCTCACTTATTATGTATTGATCAATTTTTTTTTCCATGCGATATCAAGTAAATAGATATTTTTGTCTGCCACAGACTTCGTGCGCTTAATAATTCTATCAACGTTAAGAAATATAGCGCTTATTCTTAATAAGAATATCAATTATCATATCAATATAAGACACCATAATACACAACAACATTTTCAATTTCAGTTCAAAAATGTTTGTTCAAACGTTGTTCGTACTATGTGCTGAATGATTTATCTCAAATGACTAACCATTCATTCAAAACCTCCAAATACAGTAGAAACATAATTATCCGTCCTGAAGCGATCCATTGGGAGAATGAATATTTGAACATTCTGGTCCATTCGAAGATGCAGTAATGTTAACAAACCGTGTAAATAGTTACGTACATATTGAACACTGTAATCTTTCCTTATCATTTATTATATAAAAGAAATAGACTTCACAGATGTATTTCTTTTCTAACGTTTTATTCGTAGGAAAAAACACTGACAATGACTCTGAATAGACCAGTTAGAAACTTTTCAACGGGTATACATGTTTACCCATTTCTATAGAAATTATTTTCAGTTGACTATAAATTGTGTAAATGTACATAATATGTATCATTTTGTAAGTAATGTTTAACGTATACTGTACGATTGGAGTGCGTTGCTTAACAAGCGATAAAAATATGTAAAGACTGAGTTTCTTTTTTAATGTAATATACATATATATATATACATATATATGCACTTACATTTGTTGATTATAAATATAAGCAAATATGTATATATGTATACACATATATACGTATAGAATCGCGCTTGTTTTTCACTCTTTTAATTCGGTTAAAATCGGATTCGTAACCCTGGATCGTAGCACTATATCCACACAAAAGTGCGATAAGTGAGTCAACAATATCTATTTATTTTGTTATTTAATATTCTCGATCATAATGTTCCAGTTTAATGAAAAAATGGTTTTCTGTATAGGTGATACCTGTGTTAATGTTATTTTGAACCGGTCTTGTCTGCACTCTTTTGCCCACACATCGTCCTTTCCTTATCTTCATAGGAAACATCGATGAACCATCGCGATTTGAGCACTTGAACATTCCTATAATCTAATCAAACGCCAGTTTTATTTCCATTCGTCCGATCGAATGCTTTCCTGGCACTTTGAAAAAGACACGAAAACGATTTCGTATTCCGTACACTTTTCAAGGTAGGATACACATACACGCTTCATGAAAACAGTAATCGTATATTTTTTTTTTTTCTTGCACTGTTTATCACTGTGGTCGGTGGTTGGAAAATATTCAGATAAAACAATGAATCCGCGGTAAGAAAAACCAATTTACACAACGACGATGACGACAATGACAGCACGCAAATCGTCCCTGTTTTCCATCAATGAGAAAAGCATACAACCTTATGACATCGAGGAACAGGGTAAACGCGGCGATCCCATCTGCGTGAGTACTCTATCGAGCCACTGTAATGGACCATTTAAATGCAACTCGATCCAACAAGGAGTCGACGTCACGGTTTGCCGACGATATGCCGCTCCCCAACCTTTTACAAAACTCATTCGAATCGTACACATTCGAGTCAATTGATACACAGCTTCGAATCCTTGTGAAACTGATTGCGATAACAGTGCCGCAAATTCTTGATTGTTGAATATCTTCAAATTGCAACCTGGGAAGGAAAAAAACCATCCGTAAAATATGCTTCGATTTCTTCATCAATGAACATTCACATTCGTTGAATTATATCCTTACCAGGTGGTATTTTACAAACAGTGGCTGGATGCCAACCATAACGTTGATTACAATTAGGACTTTGCACAAAAATGCTCGAATCGGATAAACATTCGGCAAATACTTCACCACCGATATAATATAATCTAGCTCCTTTACCGATATGTCGTCTCGTCTGCTCGACTACGGTGTTTCGGTTTACGTTCGATAATAAACCCAAACAGAAACGTTCGGAATTACTGGGATCAGTGAATCCATCCACCGTTATGCTCGGTTGCGATGCATGAAAAGTCTCGCCTACTCTCGTATTTAGTTCATAGTAACTTATTGAACACCTAAGGGAAAAAAGAAAAAAGATAAAATACATATTAAAAAGAAATTGCTTCAATCAATCAAGAATTAATCGTGCAATCAAAATAAGACAATTTGAATTTATTTGGCACAAGTAAATAAAGTAAATAATTTATAGAGGATCTCTCACCAAAATGCTGGTTCACAGTACATCACTGGTTGTGCATCTACAGGACTGGGAGACAAACGCGATAAGGACATATTATCGTT